TGAAACGGTGAAGCATCACGAAGCAGGAGGACCCCCTGGCTCAGAGCCCCCAGCAGCATTTTTAAGGAGAGACAGTCTTCTCTACACGAGGTGCAGCAGCGCTTCTCCAGCACCTCCCAGTAGGAACACTGGGCAAGAAGGCACTGCCCAGTTACCTTGTCCTCCTGGTCCCAGGAAGCCACGTAGCCCAGAAGGGGCTGCAGACATACTCTCCAACACCACGGGCTTTGGAGTAACATCACTTAAATTCCGAGTTTTGCATCTTCCACAGCCTTCCAGGCTTCAATTAAAGTAAATTCTTTAATTGAAAGAACTGAAAACACATCCCCTCCAGTTTGGATTAGGATAGGTTATCACAACAGATGACAGTCACCCATCCTCATTAGCCGAGCTCATCTGTTTTCCTAGCAACACCCCTCCCAACTTAGTTTAAATACTGCTGTCAGGATTAAGCTTAAAACTTAGTTCTCCTTCCAAAACTTAGACAATTCCATTTCTTTATGTCTCAAATAATTCTGTATCTCCTGAGATGAACGGGGCATAGTTAAAACCTCTGTCCGGGGTAACAAATGGAAATGCCAAGGCTGACCACATGAACACCCCTCTGCAGCCCCCTCCTCCCATCCCAATCCTGGTGGGGGGCACAGAAAGGGAGCTGGCAGTATGCAAAGCATAAATAAAAGGTATATGAGAACTGAAGACATGTTGATAAAACAGGAGAGACGTAGGCAATTGGAGGTACTGCAAGGCAGGAAAAGAAACACTCCAGTGCTGAGAACCCACAAACTCCCTCTACCTGGATATCACAGGACATGCTTTCTTGGTCCTTCCTTTTGTTCTAACGGGCTAGTTTTAGTTTCTGCAACCCTCCTCAGAATTTCCACCTGAACCTAAAGGCTCCTGCCCACAGCCTGCTTTTCTGTATGTATGTTCAGGCAGACTCATCAGGAAACCTATACATGAAAAGAGGTTACTGATTAAAAGGAAAAACCCTGCAGCCCCACCACAAACTGCTTTATCCAAATGCCATTAAATATTTACAATATTTACAAACTCTGAAAAATGCATTTATAAACACAGACATGTGCTACGCACTTAAATATTTCACACGCTTCACATAGCTTTAAGCAGAAGTGCAAGTCACATCCAAGCAGATTGAACTCTTTCAGTTTTGTATGTCCCTTTGAGACCTGAACTTTGGTCTGCCTGAACAGAAAGCAAAACTGAAATCAGTTTTATTAATTTTTTTGAAGTTGAAGACCTAGAGCTTTTCAGCTGCAGAACATTTTTTTCCCTTGCTCGTGCTCTGATAAGATTAGCAAACCAGAAGTGACAGTATCTCTTGATTTGTAAGTGGATAGCAGCCGACTAAGTCGCTCAGTACGAACACACGATTTTTAAATTAGCAAACAATGAATTTGCTCTCAGGGACTTTCCATGTCCTGTCGGAAATAGCGCAGCAAGGGACTTTCCATAGTGGGAGCGCTGAGCTGCTGCAGGACGTTACACACATTGCTGGCTACAGATGCAACCGTACTGCACGAGGCAAACTCTACTTTGCGGCACTAAACTAACAAGCCTACCCATAAGGCAGGGTTTAACATTAGTCCATGGTACCAAGAGAGACTCTGGGCTAACACGGTCGTTTGACGCCTCCTTTCATCAGCCCTCCTTCAGCCACACTTACCACCTCCTAAGCTCCGACCACGTGAGGACAGCCAGGCCTGATTAAATGCCACAGCTCTTTGGCAGGCAGCGGGGAGGAGAGATAACGCAAGCCAGACCTTGCCTCCTCCCACCAGTTCTCAGGAAAGAATCAGCTTTTCCCAAAAGGGCACAAAATAACCTCACTCCCATTAGACTGAATGCCACCCGAGGTAGGCAGGAGAGGCTCAATCCCGAGATGAGCCAACTAGCACTGCTCAAAACCCCCGCTCCCCTTTCATTGCACGAGGCTGCCCCAAGACTAACAAAACCCGTGACGGTCAAGATCGGCGCTGCAGACCTGCAGCCCAAGCGCTCCGAAGAGGCGCGCTCAGAGCCGCACCTCTACGAAACATACTCTGTTTTAGCAAAGCACCTAACAGGACCTTTTGAAGATTAGGTGGAGAGTAAAAAAAAAAAAAGGAGGCACAGCCTTATCAGTTCAGATGCTCTTAAGCACTTGCGCATAAGAACCCGGAGCATCACACACACGCCGCCTTCCAAGACGACAAGACTCAGCCCAGGACAACTCGTTGCCCTTTTGAACTGCTAGCGCAAATCCTGGCTGGACTCAAGCCTGCGTTCAAACACCTGTAAGACCACACAGGGAGGACCTTTGGCAGCTGACGATTTTTGCTGAGCCCTGCAGGAACTCTTTAAGATTTTTTTTTAAACCAGAAGAGCTCATCAGTCACAGCACAATCAATAGCACTGGAAGCTGCTGACAAATATAGTTTGGTTTAGTCTAACGGAGATGAGCTCGCTTACTACAACCACCATTTTGGACACTGCAGTGGGCATCAGACTCCTAGTCACTGGTCACCAGCAGAAATTAAAGTGTGGGTCCAACAATCTGCAGGCACCAACAGCACAGCTTGAACCCGGAACCTCAGTAAAACACACCGTGCCCTTTCAGGGCTTCACAGCAGGAGAACCATTTAGCACCCTGCATCCCCTCATCTTTTGGACTGAACTTTTAGCATGAAGAAGTGGAAGGTTCTAGACAGCCGGCCAAGGAAGCGGAGGCACAGAAGCATCTCTGTGTTAACAGGCTCAGCAAGCTAGGCAGAAAACTCAGGTATGATCCACAGCTGTTGTTTCTTCCTGCCACCTTGCAGTGGCATTGCAAAGAGAATCCAAATGTTAGCCTAGACAGACCAAGGTTACACCTCTTCCTGACACACACCTCAGTCACTGCCAAAGCTCCACGAACCACAGGGCTACAATCTTACCTAGGGCAAGTGTCAGAGGGAAATAAAATGTATTCCTCTTATCTCAGGCCCCCCACATGGTGGTTCTTCCATTCCAAGGGGGATGACAGACCTGTCCTCCAGGAGCTCCAAAGCTTCACAGGTGAATATACCTTCGCTACTAACTGCTAATGCATTTTAACGACACAAATTGTCACAGCAGAGTTGACTTGTGGGAAAGCACAGGGAAGCGCATAGTCCACTGCCATCCTCAGCAAGAACACACTTCTCATGATGCACATTAGCTGTATACACGCTAAGGACCAGGGCCACAAAAAGAAGGCCTGGATGAAAGAGCTGATGGGCTCCTCGAGAAGAGTAGGGGTGGAAAAAACCATCTTGTCCAGCAGGTTCGTGGTCCAGAACAGCTCGGAGCGACGGGTGGCCAGCCAGCGAGTAACGCCCAGTCCCGCCGCCCTGGTAGCTACAGGGGCAGCTGGCTGGAAACAGGATCGTGGCCTGTTTCCAGCGCTTTCATGGCACTTTCCCCAAGCTCATGGGTCTGACATAGGTTTTAGGTTCATATAACACAGAGAACTTCACAACAATTTCATGGCACAGCATAGTTTCTTGCCAGTTACAGCAGAAAGTCTTTTATAGCCAGAAAGGAGCTGGAGATAGGGCGGGTGGTTCCCACCACGGAAGGGACACGCTTGGTGCCTGCGATCACAAGGAAATCTGAAATTGTTTCAGTTCAAGCCTGCGCCCTCAGCAAGGCACACAAACCTACCTCAGCCAAGAAATCGCTCCAGCTTACAGTGAAGTCCAGGAAGCTGACAGCTCCCACCGCCACTGCCAGTGTCAGCGGACAAGCAAAAAAACCACCTGAACTTTGCCCAAGCACAGAGGAAAGAAAAAGGACGCAGACATCGAAAGCCTTGCTTTGATCTTTACCTCGTATTCTTTAATAGTCCCCTTCCAAGTGCAGCCGCTGTTAATACAGACAGCAGGCAAACTTTCCACCTCCCGACGAGCTGCGTTGTCTGGGAAAGCCTAAAATGGAAAAAACAAGCAAACCACAAAAATTACTGAGGGGTTGCGGTTTTGATCGGGTCTCTTAATTCTTTATTAAGACTTTACTAAGACTCCTCCCAGGCCAGTTGCCACATCGCGTCCTCACAGGTGTGCTAATGGCAAACTAATCATTATTACAGCGTTTAAGTAGGCCACCGCTGTATTAACATGACCTGGATTTCAGAGGCTGGAGAGCCCGCCACATTAATCATAACTCTCACTACTGAAGAAAATGTTTCCTAGGAATAAGGGATTCTCAGAACTTGTCTTTTAAACAAAAACTGCAAGTGGTATTGACGACATCAGTGAGCTTCTTCATTTTTTAAAATGCATTTTTTCTTACCGAGCTTGTTTCCAGAATAGAAGTTCCTTCTTCGTATATTCCTTCCTGAATACAGCTGGCACACTTTTGAGGTCCGGCACTAGCAGACAGAAAAACAATGATCAAACGCAACAAAAAGAGACCGATTAACGATTTAATGATAAAACGACTTCTGGTAATTTTATAAAATGAAAACATTTTCTTATTTTTAAAACACCACATTGAGCCTTTGCTCACGAGTATTTTTGACGCCCATTTCTGATTCTAGTTTTCTTTCTTCTCCCGATTAACCGCCCTATTCAACTTCCCTCACTTAAAGACAAGAGTGAGAGAGAACACTACGAAACTTTTCTGGAAGCCAGCATGTGCTTAAATTTCTCACATTGCGGCACGACAACCGTACGATGACTTTTAGGAGCAAGTTCCTCCAGCAGCTGTGAGGAAGGCTGAAGGAGATGGGCGATCCACCTGGATCGCCACCTGAACAGCAAAAACAATCCGGGAGGTTCTGGAAAAGGGAACTTTGAAGCAACCCCCGGAACAATAAAAGCAAGTCAGAGATTACACATTCCCTTGAAGAAGACCCAATGCTGAACCTCAACGATTAAACACAGCTCCCTCGCTGAGAAGGCCCTGAAAACGAGACTTTTCTCTCCTTTTCCGCTGGAAAATGCCTTTTCAAGCATTTTGCCTTCAGACTGAAGGCACAAAAGTTACCTTATAATTTTCTTCAGGCAATAGGAACAGTAGCGATGTCCGCACTGAGCTTGAAATGGCCTCCTCAATATATTCTTGCAATCGGAGCAGAGGTACTTGACCTCCAGTTTAGTTCCCAGGATCTCCTTTGCAAATCCAGGCTGGTTTAGATCTAGAGAGCCAGGCGGAGTAGAGTTTGCTGCTGCCATGTGAACGAAAAATTCTGGCTGTATCTCCAGAGCCTGAAAATAAAAATATTTTCCCTGTTTGATTATAACTGGACAGTGGCGATTTTTCACGTAAACTGCATTACTCACAGCGTATTACACTGGCACCCAAAACCCAGCACCACCGGTAAACACACCGATGTAAACCACAAGCCTGCCTCCACCTAGTTAAAAATACGGAAAGAAACTTTACGGTTAATTTTAGAATTAAATCCAGAACAAAGAGACAGGGCGGACAGACCTCACTAAAATCCCCGTCCAAGTTTATTGAAATGCAGCCTACTTGGAGAAATCAAGGCTTCTGGCCCAAAACAAGGTAAAAAACCGTCCCAAAGCTGATCAGGAATATCAATAAGCCACCTCAGTCCACCAAAAACCTGTAGGCACCGAGTGAGGTAGCCACAGCCTACCACCACCGCTTGTTTTCACAGCTGCCGGTTGTCAAAAAGGACGGTAATTCTGCCCAGAGCCACCGGGTCCCGGGGGAGACGCCGCGCCGGCGGCGGAGCCCAGATTTGCTGGCAGCGCCCAGGCAGGCGTACAGGGCTCTCCAGAGGGCTGGAGAAGGAAGCCTCGGGAGTCGCAAGCAAATCGGAAAGGAGGAAAAGAACAAGATGCCGTTGTTCTGACCGCTTAGGGTGACCTAAGGACGCACCTCCCGCCTTCGCGCCCTGCCACCGCGTCCCACGGCCACCTGAAAGGCCTCGGGTAGCGCATCCCGGTACCTCCTTCAACCGGCGCGGCCGAGGAAGCGGCCAGGGCTCGCTCGGGCTCCCCCGCGCCCTTTCGGCTTCGGGTAACG